TATATATATATATATATATATATATATATAATATATTATATAAACAACGAAGGAAGGAATTTAACTTTTATTGAATGATTAGTGAACCATTACCCATTATTCATAACAGTCTTCGTTTTGTGCTTTTGGCAGTCAGATGCAATTCCAAACACTTCTACAGTTACATATGGATCAATAACATCGTTATCAGGCGTTGGTTTGGGTAAATACTGCCCACTTATAATCTAAGAAAAAATTGTTGTTAAGAAATAAATGTATCCAAATGCCTCAGTTTGATTGAAATTTGTAAAATTTAAAATTAATAATAATGATAATAATAATAACGATAATATTAAAATGAACGGAATGGAACATTGAAAACTGACTTCAACGTGAAGCTTCATTTTGACTTCACCAGAAATTTCTGGAAGGCGAGGATCTAAAGATGAATTTGAATATTACTACAAAGTAAAGATAATTCATATTTTAAATTCAAGCTTAAGACGTAATGCAGTACTTGTACCTAAACCGTTCCGAAGAATTTCTGGTTTTAAAACATAGCCACAGTTCCCGTTAACTCGAAACAAACCATACACCAAATCAAGGTATTCCCCAGAAGTCTGCATATTCATTGCTACAGACTGAATACCGCAAACCCAAGATGGCATCGGATCCATATTACTGGAATCTTGTCTGATTCCTTTTGGATATGCCTTGACAAACCTTTCGGCTGTGTAAGTAGCCAATGACGTTCCACCAGCCGCAAAGTCCACAACTTTCGTCTCGGATATCGAGGGTGACCCGTCCATTGGATCTGCAAAAATAAATGAAAAAGAAAAGAAAGAACTGGTTCATTAAGCGTATTTTATCAAAGTAACTTTTTATACAAAAGGATCAAAATGTTAGGAACAGAATTTAAAAAGCTTTGCAAAAACTTTAGCATCGAATAAAAATTTTAAGCAAGAAAATTTTTTAATATAACTCACGATTTCTAATGTCCTCATATATGTTCTCAGAAATTTTTACTGAAGGCAATGATATTAGTTCAGAATACGACGGATCCAATGAGATTTTTTCGTGCTTTTTCTGACTCTGTGGTTCATCAGTATCTTGATCAAATTGTTTGTCACTGCTACTGGTCGGAAGTTTTTTGCCACGCAACAAAAACTTCCCTTTTAAAGCATTTGGGGATGGTAAAGGTTTTTTAGCGCCATCCGGTGGTCTCATGTAAATATTATCACCCAAAATCTGAAATCAGTGTGGCAATTAGACTCATATAGCACAGTTGCATAACTTATAGAGCAATTTCATGGAACAAATTTACGAGTAGTTACAACGAAATTTTTACAATTTTTCAAAGCCGCTCTTAGCTTTACAATATAAACAAAAAGAAAAAACGACCTAATTGTTCTCTTTGGCTATCTATAACTACTAGGTCTTACTTCTTCCGCCAGCGCTACTTACCTCTTTGAAGATTTTAGCCATAACTCGTTGCTGAAGCAAGCTAACGTGATTTTCGATCGTTAAAATAACTGGATAAGGGCTAGACTTGAACGCATGTAAAAGTATTGCTTCCAAAGCATTTCGAAGCGTTATTGCTGTTATCAGTGTTCGTTTATGTGTTATACATGGTTCACCATCGTCACCGTCAAATATGTCCACTAGAGTTAATAAAATTGTGTTGCATCAATAAGTGCACAGAAATTGGCCTTTCCCAATTATTTTGCCTACAACAACATCATATTTTGTCCCTTTAGTAAACTTACATTCTAATAAGCGTGCTCCTTTCCTTAATGCTCCAATATATCCTTCAACACTAGCTTCGCCCTTGAGCTGTAATCCAGTAAGGTACGTATTATGACTTGAGTTGACATAATAATTATTTAGTGGTAAATTCATGTCTTGATATATGGAAAGGTGTCCAGGTTTAACAATACTGCCCCACTCAGATTGCATAAGACGTCTGAAACCTAGATAACAAATGTTATGAAACTAAATTAGTGGAACCAGTTAGTTGGATGTAAAATTTTTGCGCTAAATTATCTGAAAAACTATAATCTGCTATACCAATTGGCCCAAGAACAACGTTAGTTTGTCCATCAGGCTTTGAGGTTTCAAATCTCGCTATTATTGACTGTGCGAGTGAGTCATTAATATTGTCAAACTGAAATAAATTTATTCAAAAAAGTACAGTAATCTGAAATTTGGTTATAATATATAAGAGGTAGAACCCTTATGTTGCTTACCTCTTGTTCTTTAGTAAGGAATTTCTTTAAATCGCTTATACTTAGTGCCTGATCTTCAGTTGAGCTGAACAGCCGAAGGGCCTTAACAATATCTGGACGATCTGTAAGCTTTTCAAAGAACTGTAGGAATTCCTTTTCGTCTAATACGCCATCACCTCGTCGGCCGTTAACAGTCTTATTTTGATCGGCATTCTATAAAATAAGCAATTTCAAAATTTAAGCCAAGAACGTCCAGGAAGGAAAAATCAACTATGTAGCTACATCGTGCCAAACCATATGTAAAGATCCTAATAGTAAAGACAAATTTTGCATTGAAAATCTGTTGATAATTCTTCTAGGTCACATTTTAAACCAAAATAAAGTTTTTAAAAGGCTGCTTAAAGCCACTCTCCTTGTCGAGCCTCTTACCCAAACTCTAATAACTGTTTAGGCTAAAGCCTGTTCCACATGCGCTAATCAGCATTAGCACTCCACTGAGTACTTGCTTGGAAGGTAGTACAAAACTCACTGGCAGAGAATGCTACTAAAAACAGACAAAAAATGGTCAAGGAAGTTGATAAATGACATACCTGAAACATCGCCGCCGCATATCCTTCGCTGATATCCAAATTCAATTTCTTCAACAGATTCCATACTTCTTTGAAGCTAAGTTTCCCTGTAAAACTTTGCTGATAAATAAAAAATTCCTTGTCAGAATCAAACGATGTCTCTATGCTGCACAATCCAATATCTCACAATTATGATCACTTCAACAGTCTACAACAACAGAAATTAAGACGCCGAGAGACTCTTTTTAGGTTCAACTTCTACCTTACTCAGCTATTGCTTTCTGCACCTCATTGCAATCAAAAACAGCTAATGTTCCCAAATTTGAATCAGAACCAGCTTACGATGCTTGTCTTATCAACAACTTCAAGGAAAATGCAATGGATAGCCGCAAAAAAAGAGTGAAGCAGCAACTGGGTTTTCTTTTGCGCTCCACAGCTAAAACTTTTGTACCGCAATTCAATTTGAATCAACAAACTTTTTCTCTCATAGTCACCAATAAATTCCTAAAAATCAGAAATTTATTACAGAAACACCCAAAGCTGACTAACTAATCATTTTCATCCAACCAGAAGAGTACGAGTAGCGTCCAATAAACACTCCTCAAAAATAAAGTGTCCTTGACAATTTCTTTAGCTTGTTTAATGTTCTGTGCCCTGCTGTTTAATGTTCACAAATAAATTCAAAAAAAGAAAACAAAGATCTTTTTCTTTTCATTTTGAACAAAGAATCAGTTGCTAAACAACAAGAAGACAATTATTCTTGAAGATAAATCCAGGACCAATAATTTGGCTTCAACAAAAAACATAAATGATAGCAGAAATTCTTAGATATCAACCAGTTGCTAATAGCTTTGGTAACGAATGAACACTATTTTGCCTGTTCCAATTGATTTAATAATATAAACTTACCAAAGCATTAAACTTGATATAGAGAAGGAATAAATTTGTAACAGAAAAAACTTCTCTACTTCTACTCTCAAAGTTGCGAGAGTGAATCATAGACTGTTCCATTTGCACAGGGTCAAGTACTCCATCTTCATAAAAATATTTCAATTTCAAAAAAGCCTATTTTTTATATTACCTATATGCAAAGATATACCGTGAATAAGTACAAATCTATCGAAATCTATGCTTGCAACAAAAAAAAATCGGGAAAAATAGCAATAAATAATAAGTGCTTTTACAGCTTAATAAAGTGACATTTAAAGATAGCAAAAAAAAAAAAAAATGTTTCATTGGAAATCTTATAAGACTTGAAGAATTTCAAATTCTACAAAAATTTATAATTTCAACGTCTGCTACAGCATCTACAATGACAGACGTCTATAGAAGTCAACTGTTAATTACTAAAAATTTTTTACATTTAACAGAAGGATATAAGAATGATCAGAGCAGTAACGATGATAAAGTGGCGACAACACCAATAAGACCGAGAAAAAAACCTTCCGTCTTGTAACCTATTAAACCAGAATATAACGCTTTCTGTAAAATAATCCAGAACTATCATTTGCGCTACGAAACGGTCTTTTTAGATGCTTCAATTATGTGATTTCTTCTCAGAAAACTATTCAACAGTTATTTTTTTATTACATAAAAGTCTACAAGGAGAAAAATGTAGACACTTTTTTTCTGTTG